GTGACGGCAGAGAGAGAGATACAGTTAGGTGACGGTGACGCAAGAGACAGGTAGATGGTTGTGTTAGGGTGACTGACGGATGAGAGAGAGAGCTGAGACAAAAAAAACGGTCACAGGCAGACGGTGCGTTAGGTGACGTGACAACAAAAAAACCGGGAGACAGCAGATGGTCAAAGAAAGAGCGACGGGTGAGACAGGTAGATGGTTGTGTTAGGTGATGGTGACGGAGTGAGAGGTAGAGATGGTTGTGTTAGGTGACGGTGACGGAGTGAGACAGGTAGATGGTTGTGTTAGGTGATGGTGACGGATAGATAGGTGACGGTGACGGGGGGAGATGGAAAAAGACAGTAGACAAGAAGACGGTGACGCGGGAGACAGGAGAGAAAGGACGGTGACGGGGGTGAGACAGGTAGATGGCTGTGTAGGGTGACGGTGACGGAGGCAGAGACAGGCAGATGGTTGTGTTAGGGAGATTGCGACGGGGTGAGACAGGTAGATGGCCAGGAGTTACGGTGGATGAAGAGACAGGTGATGGTTGTGTAGGTGAGGTGACGGAGGAGACAGGTAGATGGTTAAAGAGTGACGGAGACGGAGTGAGACAGGTAGATGGTTGAGTTAGGTGACGGTGACGGGTGAGACAGGTAGATGGTTGTGTTAGGGTGACGTAAGACGGGTGAGACAGGTAGATGGTTGTGTTAGGTGACGGTGACGAAAGGTAGACAGGTAGATGGTTGTGTTAGGTGACGGTGATGGAGGAGACAGGTAGATGGTTGTGTTAGGTGACGGTGACGGAGTGAGACAGTAGATGGTTGTGGACGTGATGGTGACGGGTAGACAAGTGGCAAGACGGTGACGGTGGGGTGAGACAGGTAGATGGTTGTGTTAGGTGACGGTGACGGGAAGATGTAGATGGTGTTAGGTGACGGTGACAAGAGACAGGCAGATGGTAGACGGTGGGCCACGGAGTTAGTGACGGTGACGCAAGAGACAGGAGATGGTTGTGTTAGGTGATGGTGACGGAGTGAGACAGGTAGATGGTTGTGACGGTGACGGGTGACGGAGTGAGACAGGTAGATGGTTGTGTTAGGTGACGGTGACGGGGTGAGAAGGAAGACGGTTGTGACGGTGACGGTGACGAGGAGTGAGACAGGTGATGGTTGTGGTTAGGTGACGCAGACGAGAAGGAAGGGAAGAGAAAGAAGACGGTGACGAAGGAGACAGAGATACAAAGTTAGGTGATGGTGACGGAGGAGACAGGTAGATGGTTGTGACGCAGGACGGTGACGGGGGTGAGACAGGTAGATGGTTGTGTTAGGTGATGGTGACGGAGACAGGCAGATGGTGTGACTGTGACGGTGACGGGGTGGAGACAGGTAGATGGCTGTGACGGTGACGGTGACGCAAGGGAGACAGGTAGATGGCTAAAAGATGACGTGACGTGAGACAGGTGACGGTTGTGTTAGGTGACGGTGACGTGAGACAGGTAGATGGCAGATGGTTGTGTTAGGTGACGGTGACGGGGTGGAACAGGTAGATGGTTGTGAGGTGACGCAAAGACGGGGATGAGACAGGCAGATGGCTGTGAAAGGTGACGGTGACGGAGAGACAGGAGTAGATGGGTTGTGTTAGGGTGACGTGACGGGGTGGACAGAGATGGTCGAAAAGTAAGTGACGGTGACGGGGTGAGACAGGTAGATGGTTATGTTAGTGGACGCAGACGTGGGGTGAGACAGGTAGATGGTTGTGTTAGGGCATGCAGGGGTGAGACAGGTAGATGGTTGTGTTAGGTGACGGTGACGGGGTGAGACAGGTAGATGCTGTTAGTAGACGTGACGGGGTGAGACAGGTAGATGGCTGTGTTAGGTGACGGTGACAAGGAGACAGGTGATGGTTGTGAGAAAGACAGACAAAGTAGACAGGCAGATGAAGCAAAAAAAGACGCCACGAGTGAACACAACAGACAAAGAAGACCGTGAAAAGGCACAGGCAGACGGTTAAAGAAAAGACGGTGACTTAAAGGAGACATGTAGACGGTAGACTAAGTGGTGACGCAGACGGGAAAGATGGTGAGAAGGCAGTGTAAGCAGCCTGTGACGCAATGATTATGAGACGGCTGTGCCAGGCAGACAAGATGACTTGAGACACGAGAGTACAAAAAGAAAGATCTACGTGACGGCTGAGACAGAAAGACGGTCAGGTCGAAAAGAAAGTGACAGACTGAGACAGGCAGACGGTAAAGAAAGATATAGTGACGCAAGAGACAGGCAGAAGGTTGTGAGCAGGGGTGACGGTGACGATGAGACACAGTAATGGTCATGCCAGGTGACTACCAAAGGAGAAAAATACGGCTAAAATAGGTGACTGCGGGGTGACAGGCAGATGGCTGCGTTAGGTGACGGTGACGGGGAGCACAAGGCAGATGGCTCTGTGTTAAGGGTGATGCGTAAGCGAGACAGGTAGATGGTTGTGTTAGGTGACGCAGACGGGTGAGACAGGCAGATGGTTGTACGACGGTGACGGGGTGAGACAGGTAGATGGCTGTGACGGTAGACGGAGACGGGGAGACAGGTAGATGGCTAAAGAGTTATTTGCACGGGGCAGGACAGGCAGATGGTTGTAATAAAAGATGGTGACGGAGGAGACAGGTAGATGGTTGTGACGGTGACGGTGACGCGGAGACAGGTAGATGGTTGTGTTAGTGACGGGTGACGGGGTGAGACAGGCAGATGGTTGTGTTAGGTGATGGTGACGGAGGAGACAGGTAGATGGCTGTGACGGTGACGGTGACGGGACAGTATACAGTTAGGGGTGACGGTGACGGGGTGAGACAGGTAGATGAAGAAAGTAGGTGACGGTGACTGGAGCAATACGTAACCGAACTTAAATACCA